CAGGCAGGTGCAAAGCTGCCTGGGACCAGACAGGCTGTCGCCAGCGCCGTGTGCATGCACGGGTGCTGGCGCAGGAAAAGTATCGCATTTACCCGGGAAATGTCTATATAAGAAGTTGGGAGGTTTTGGGAGCTGCTGAAGCCATCTACTTGTAAGCTGAACGCAGAATAAAGAAAACTGAGAACTTCAACTGCTTCTCGTGTCTGCTTCCCGCCACGGACTCAACATCCTCCTTTTTGATATTTGAATACTAATCTGCAGGGCTTTTTTTTTCTCATAGAATGCTCAGAACGGCATTCTGCCACCTTTTTTTGATGGTTGTTTTTCAACTTTTGCATGAGCTGTGCTACTCCCCCTATTGGCTTTCAAAAGTCAATAGGAATTGCTGCTGAGTGTGCCAAAACACCCAGCCGGCAAACTTTGCACATGTAAGTTATCTGCAGCAAAGGTGAATTGGCAGGAACTTTGCACCCCTCCCTGCTATCCAACTACACTATCTCCTAGTTAGTCCCAAAGATACCTGGAGGAGACTGGAGCGGCGACACCACGGTAACTTTCCCTTGATCTTCAGCCCTGCTAGGGCAATAATGGCTGCGGGCACAAGAGGCAGAGGCAGCAGGGCTGCTGCAGGCAGGGGTGTGAGGAGCGACCGTGGCTGGCTGCCCCCTGTGCTGTGGGAGCTGTGGAGCCTGCTCTGCACGGGGCTGTGCAGGGTGGGCGGTGGTGCTGGCGGGGTGACTGCAGGCGGGGTGTGTCACGGCAGGCTGCCCCCCTGGGCCGCTGGTGCTTTGGGAGCCACAGGCCCACTCTACACAGCGGGCCGCAGTGCTGGCGGGGTGGCTGCGGGTAGGGTGCGGCATGTAAGCATAATTACAATATAAAATGTTATTGTTACAAATATTTTTTATTATGCATTTATCATATTATAGTGTATTCTGTATTATTGTTGCAATGAATAAAATGTTTCTTTTATTTACAATATTTTTTCTTCAATTTATTTGTGTCTTCCTTTTCATTGTAAAAAAGTTGGTCACCTTACAGTTAGATCCAGATGTTGCATTTGATTGCCCAAGATGGCACTTGTTGATCCAAAAAGCAGACTTGGCATCTGCAGAAAAAATGCTAGGATGATGATATAAGTCTATTGTTGCAACTGACTCCCTAGCAAAAGGGAGGAGATTAGAAAATGGTTTATCCTAAATTGATATTTTTCCTAAAACTGGAGTTTCTTCAAGAGTGGGAGTCCCAGGCAAGAGCCACGATGACCAACCCCTATGGAGAATCCAGTTTTGGAAGGTGTAAAGGCTGAAGAAGCTGAGCTCAGCCTTCTGATTTTCTCCCAAGTTGCATAAAGCCAAAATGCATAATTCACTGAGCAAAGAACCCAAAATCTAGAGCAGTGATTCTCAACCTTTCTAATGCCGTGACCCCATAATACATGTTGTGGTGACCCCCAAGTGGGTGTGGCCACCAATAAGAGGGATTAGGACAGCTAGGGAAAAGGGAAAAAAATGGCGGACAGCATGGTTTGGCGACCCCCGTGAAATGGTCATTCGACCCCAAATGGGGTCCCGACCCACAGGTTGAGAACCACTGATCTAGAGATAATATTGGCAAATATAAAAAAATACAAGCATACTGCTACACTTAACTAGTAAACACCCTTTGAAATAAAGCATAGCAACCTGTGGGAGAATTCCAGCTAAGATGTTGACCTAGAGCAATGTTTCCCAAACTTGACAATTTTAAGGCATGTGGACTTCAACTCCCAGAATTCCACAGCCAGCGTTGCTGGCTGTGGAATTCTGGGAGTTGAAGTCCACATGCCTTAAAATTGTCAAGTTTGGGAAACACTGACCTAGAGCTTGGAGAGATGTGGGTCCAAGCTGTAAAATTTCTGCATTCCCCTTTCTACAGAGAAGTACTGAGTGGCCTGCCTCCATCTGTTCTTTCCAGAGAGCAGATACCCAGGAGTAAATTTTCTTTGGTTCTGATTCTCTCTCGTCCTCTTAATTACTATGTGAGCTTCCTCAGTGTGTGGAATTTCATACTTTTACAATTCTAGCCATCAAGATCATATTAGGACAGGAGATTATGGCTGTTGATATTCACATCCGGAAGGTAAAAAATTTGGAAAAGGGCTGGTTATTTACTGGCCTGCAATACTTCCTATATCTTTTATGCAGTTGTTAATTGTGGACCATGGCTGGGGGCAAGTTACATGAAATTATGCAATTGTATATGCTGATTTGATTTACTGCAGTCGTTTAAAATTCTCCTTAATCAGCACTTGGCAGAACAACGTTAAAAGGTACTAATATCAATAATTTTAATAATTTTAAAATTTAATAATTTTAATAATTTTTGTGCAGCTGCTGATAAAAACAGGATCACCAGCATGATCGCCAACGTCCAATAATGGATATGGCACAAGAACAAGAAGAAGAATATCAATAATTATGTTCCTGAAAATAAAAATACTGAGTTTTTTTCTGAGAATAAAACATATTAATTTAGTATTAATTTAGTAGACAAACTCACACATAAAGAAACTTTCAGCATCAGAGGAACAAATGGAGCACATTTCAGTTTCTATCCACACTTCAAAAATACATCAAACTGGAAATTAAATGCTTATTATCTGTATTTTAAAATTTGAAACAAATGTTGAGTTTTGTATTTATTAAGATTAGGATTTTTAACCTTTGGTATATATAATAAGTATAAGTCTAGAAAGAGATTATTATGATAGGTTGCACAGTCAGCCAGATGTTTAGACTAGATTTCACACTTTTGTCCACCTGTCCAGTCCTTCCCAAGGACCTGGGATAGGCAGACATTGTTTGATGGTGTTAAAGATATTGTTGCAGGATATAAGCTGTTCCATTTACTATTTATTTTATTTGTATTAGGCACCACCCAAATCTATTCTGGCTGGTTCAAAATATATAGCAGAAAACCAAAATAAAACACAATACAAAATAGATTAAAAAGGTGGCATCTGGCCACTCAAGAGAAAGACATCCAGTGAGGGGGCTCCATTCACCGTGTCCCGAGACCTGTGTTTGGTCCATTTATTTCAAAGCCCATTAGTTAAAGTCCTTACCGTGAATTGTATGCTCTGCATACAAAAGGAAAAAATGATGCAGAGAAAAAGAGTATATTTTCTTTTCTCTTTAACAAAGGAAAAAAAACAACATGCAAAGCACTTTGATCAAAGCATACATCTAAATAATACACAAGTCAAAGATTGTATAATTAAATAAATGCAGAATTTAGATGCGGTAATAGATAGGTAGCAATGGAAATATCAATGCAAGAAGAATATTAAATTTCTACCAAATGTATTTAGAGACAATTGATACTTTTTTTATTATTATTATTGAAAATTTTTTATAAGTTTTTACAAAAACACAGAAAAAAAATAACAATACAAAAACGGAAAACAACATATACAAAAAACTAAACATAACATCCCCTTCCCCATCCCCCCCAAAACACCCCCCCTTACCCCCCCTGAGCTTCCCAGAGCAGAATATAGGTTTAATTAAAAAAGAATTAAAAAAAAAATTTATATAAAAAAGAAAAAATAAGACTAAAATATAAATATATATGTATATAAAAATAATTATGAAAAAGCAATATGATATTTTTTTATATCCAATTTAAATTGTATAAATTCTATCCATTTATCCCAAACAGCAAGAAATTTCTCTTGCGTTTGTTCCTTTAAGAAAGCCGAAATCTTTGCCATTTCCGCCAGATAGGACACTTTAAAAAACCATTCCTGCAATGTAGGCAAGGATTCCTTCTTCCAATATTGTCCTACTAACAGCCTTGCGGCTGTAATCAAATTTAACATCAATATAACCTCCTTTGTATCACAATCAGTAACTATACTCAACAAAAATAACTGCGGAGTAAATTTTACCCTCCTTCTAAAAATTCTCTGAATATTCCACCATATCTTAATCCAAAATGCTTTTATCTCTCTACACGACCACCAAATGTGATAATAGGTGGCATCCAAACAACCACATCTCCAACATTTAGGCTGTAAGTCCGGGTACATGAAAGACATTTTTTGTGGGTCAAGGTGCCATCTATAAAACATTTTATAAAAATTCTCACTTAAATTCTGTGCCTGTGTAAATTTGACATTTCTTACCCAAATGGTTTCCCATGTATCCAATGGGACTGATTCACCAAAGTTTTGGGCCCATCTAATCATACATTCTTTAATTAATTCCGTTTCTGAGTCCAATTCAACTAGCACCCCATAAATTCTCTTAATATGGGCTTGTCTTTGATCCTTCACTTGCTTAATAAGATTTTCATCTTCTCTAAGAAAGCCCACCTTGCAATCCACCTTCCATCTATCTGCTAGTTGCCTATATTGAAACCAAGAATAAATAATATTTTCTTGTGCTAACTCCTCCCGTAATTTTAATTGCCAATTTTGTCCATCCCATCTGAGTAGCTGTCTATAAGACAATTGATACTTTTTTTATTGGTATATTATCCCAATTCTTATTGCTAAACTGGATAGTTTATCTTCTAAAAACTGCTCGAAAGGGATTGATCAGGTTGGATCATTCTTTCATAAAATGTGATATTATAAACCTCAAAAATTTTGAAAAATGATTCATATGTGAATAAAACTAATATTAAAAGTTGAAATCACAATTCAACACATTTTTATTAAACTTTATGAAACCAAATATTCCCACAAAGTGTACTGAATTAGCTTTAGTTAAAATGAGTTACGGAGATCTACTTTGATGTCTACAATATTGTATCTCAAGACTACATCTGACAGAGAATGTAAATTAATTTAGAAACCATTCCTAGATTACAAATGCTTACATGGGTTTGTACTGGTTATAAAATGTTCTGTCTTCATACAGTAAAATCTATTGTAATTCTATAATTCTAATTCTAAATTAGAATAAATGTTTATTAATATAAATAGAATTTATTGCAATTATGAGAGAACTTACTTCCATTTCAAGTCTTGTGTGGTGTGCTTGTGTAGGTTAACAGCAATCACAAGTTTAAAGACTTTACAGGAAGTACATGACTGCTAAAAAAACAAGCCTTTGTCAGAATCAAGTTACGGTTATAAATAACTCATCTATTGTTGCCCCAGACAATGAATCCACAATCAATGCTAATAAACTGCTATTAGGAATTAACCAGTTGCCTTTGCAGCAGATTTTCTCAGGCTACTTGATATTAATGGAAGATAATATGAATGCCTTTGTCATCTGAGAAGAGGAAGAAGACATGTATAAAAATTAGTAGAAGAAGAGAACAAGCCAGCGAAGGCTCCAATGGATTGTATTTAGTCAAAAATATAATTTTTAAGTCCCAAGGAGCAGAAGCAAAACTAACACTTTACAGTTTCTTTCATCAATGCTCTCTCAAAGGCTAATGGGTTGTATATAAAAATAAAACTCTGGAATACCCAAATCAAGATTTCTATTGATAAGTCACAGCCAAACTTGCCTCACTATTCTCCTGTGTAGGTTTCCCCTTACAGGGAAGTTGCATTCATTTCTTATTAGGTTCCATGAACTAATCTCCTACAAATTCCACAATTGCTGACAGAGGGATATTAATTACTGCATTCTAAAAGGATTATCTCACTCCCATCTTTTTTAATGGAGGAGGTCTGACACTAATTCTATATATATATGTGTTTCATAAGATTCATTCCTGACAAAATAACAAACAAATAAGCCAGGTAGCTAGCTACCCACTTTAGTTTTTCCTGAGAGGCAGTTGCTCTAGTTCAGGGGTAGGCAACCTTGGCTCTTTTATGACTCGTGGACTTCAACTCCCAGAATTCCTGAGCCAGCCATGCTGAGGGGAAAGGGAGAAATTTCCATGCTGAGCCAGGCTGGCTCAGGAATTCTGGGAGTTGAAGTCCACAAATCATAAAAGAGCCAAGGTTGCCCACCCCTGCTCTAGTTTTTGAGGGGAAAAAATACTAAAGTCTTAAAGAAAAATCAGGTTGTTAGATTAGGTTCTGTGGATCATAGTTCACTTCATTAGATATATGGCATATAAACCTGAGAAAGGAGAGTGTGGGATGGTGATAGTATAATAAAAAGTTTCATTTGTTAATTCTGCCACATCAAGTTGCTAATAAAAGTACAAATGTAACACTGTTTCATTTTCTTCTAGCAAGGTTATTGTGCTCTCAAACAAACTCAACCTTTCCTTCTCAATAATACTTCTGAATAAGTATTTCCCTCAACTTTTCTTTACATATATGATAGTGGCAAAATTTATTTGCCCCTGCCCTCTGGAATATTCTCCCATTGGGTCCATCCTTACAAGGCAAATGAAAGAGGGTGTGTTTTGGCTGGGTTTATATTTGTTTTTCTGAGTTTTATTATATTCATTTTTCATTATAACCTCGGCAATCTCAGACCTCAGTCGAAGTTGTCCCATCCCAGACAACTTTGTGAAGTTTTTTTATTATTAAAAAGAGTATTCATTAAAGGAGCAAAACTTACCATCCACATTTCTCATAATTCTTAGAGCCAGTCCATCATCTAACATAAAGCCTGGGGAAAAGCTAGCTTTTTAAAGAGCTCTTGAAGATGGGCATAGTAGGATCCTTATGGATCTATGAATAGATAACACCATTTATAAGAAGCAAGTAATGAACTTCTATAGAGACAGAATATGTGTTTCATTTATGAATAAGGCTACCAAGACTGCACATTTATTCATACTTATCTGGATATTATTCATGAATAATATATATATAGAATTTCATTCAAACATTATTTTCCCTATGACAACAACAAAGGGGAAGCTTACGTCCCCCCCACCAACACACTCCCCTAAGTCTAAACCACGTTTGGAAGAAAGAAGAGAACCATCAAACAACAGGGCTTCTGTTCCCAACTCCCTAAATCAGTCCAAAAGGATATCCTAATCAAGGGTATTGAAAGTCAACAAGAAATTAAGAGGGTTTAGGACAGCGGTTCTCAACCTATGGGTCGCGACCCCATTTGGGGTCGAACGACCATTTCACGGGGGTCGCCAAACAACACTGTCCGCCATTTTTTCCCTTTTCCCTAGCTCTGCTCTTTATTCCCTCCTCTTTGCACATGCGCAGCTTTTTCCACTATAAAGTTAGGAAGTTTCAGTTTCAGAGCACGTGGCAGAAAGCAAGAGAGAGAACAAACAAAAGCGGTAAGTTTCGAGCGCCTTGATTCTTCACCCTGCTTTAATTATTATTTTTTAAAGGGGGAAACGGGGAGAGAAGGGCGGGGGAGGGAAGGGGTAGAAAGAGAGAGATCTGGTTTTACAGAAGCGAAGGAAAAGGGCGAAAGAAAAACCTTGGCTCGATTGGAGCAGGCTCGGTCCATTTCTCGGGCTGCCCTGGCCGGGGCGGAGTGGGGGGAAAGAAAGGATCGGCCCGGTTTCCGCTCGGAGCCAGCCGAAGTTGGGTCGGGGTTGGGCGAAGGAAGAGGGCCGAGGGCCAATGCGGAGGGTCAGAGGCGAAGAGGGTGCGCTGGGTCTAACCCTGAGGGCTGCGGAGGGAAGCGGGGCGGAAAGTGGAAGGAAGGGAGGGGACAGGTTGCTCGCGCCTGGTGGGGCTCTTTCTGGAAGGAAACCCGTGTAAAGGGCTATCTCCGAAGTGGTGTGGGGTTACGTTCTTGTGGTGAGTGGTGGTGAAGGGCGGGCGGCGAATCCAGGAGGACCCTCAAGTGGAGCGGGTGGTTTTCTTACCTCCGGTCGGTTCAGAGACCCCTGCGCCCCTTCCTCCCTTGCTTGCTTGGAACAAGGGGGCAGCAGCCACCCCCGAGTCGCTCTTTCCAGCCCTGTCCCGCTTGTAGATTGTTGGCCAGACCCCCGCCCCGCCCACCCGCCCGCCCACCTGGCGGGTCTGTCTGAAAGCAGTGAAAAACTTTGCCGCAACTCGGCGGCTGTGCCCAGCTTGTTGAGCACCCACGTGAACTTCCGAGTCTCTGAGGAGGAGGAGGAGGAGGCGGCGGACTGAAGAGACATGGTCACCATCCTTGCTGCCTCGGTCCTCCGCTTCTTCCTCTCAGAACTGGTTCTTCCCGGCGGCCCCTCTTGCCGTGGGAAAGCCGAGCCCGGCCCCGCCATCTCTCAGGGCGCTGCCTCATCGGCGCTCGGGAGCCCCATCCCCCCTCCCTCCCTCCCGTGACGGCTGGGATGGCGCTGGCGGCTTCCTTGCTCCGATGTGGTGACCAGCATTGGAACGGCAGTCGGCAGCTGTGGGCTCCGTTGTGTGTCACCCCCCCCGTGAATGGCAAGCCCTGTGGGGCTTGACAGTGGTGTTGCTTTAAGAAAAAAAATTATTCCCCCCCCCGCCCCATCCCCCTTTTGCATAGCAATAAACACTACAATAAACATTCTCATGCTTTGTCCCCCTCCCATTTACTCGATAAATATTAAACATACACTTCCTGCCTCATGCTGGCTGAAGGGCAATGTTTGAATAAGGCTGTGGAAGATGACTATAATCAAAAATCAGAAAGAAAAGGAACTCAGGGAATATTTCCAGTCCGTGTACACCAAGGGAAGCAGTTGCTAAGTGAAACGGTGATTATACTTATGATCATACTTCAGCTTTCCTTTGCATATCTGTGAAAATTATAAATGCAATGATTGGTCATAAAGTTACTTTTTTATCACAATCTTAATTGCAAATGGTCACTAAATGAGGCACTCACTAAATGAGGACTACCTGTACCTAAAAAAGTCAAAAGGGACACTTTAAAAAATAAAGATTTTACAGGCAACAGCAGTACCTGAACAATCTTGCCTAGGGACCACAAAAAAACCCCTGGCCTAGTTAGGATGGAATTCTACCAGAGTCCAGACAATGTGGTACAAAACCAAACCAAACCACAAACGCATCCTTGCTGGGATTCAGTTTAAGTCTATTTCTCCCCATCCAGAACTGGGCCTTCAGGATCTGGGTCAGGTCTCCACCTCATCTTCTGCTTGGGCCAGGTTGAAGATCTATAATAGAGTAATGATGACTCTTTCATGCTGGCAGATGAGCTCTCCCAATCCCTTCATGTATAGTTGTACTTTCAGTCTCTACAACTTTAAATGTGTGGATTTCAATTCCCAGAATTCCCCAGCCAGCATGTAGATTGAGGAGACATCCTATAGCAGAGCTCCCAAGAACCCAACTTCTCCTTTCTCCACCTGCTTAGGACAGAGAAGAAACACTACAAAAGACAGTGTCTCCCATTTCCAGGCCTTCCAACTATCCCAGAGGGATAGTCTCCAAGATCCCTTGTACAGGAAAGAAAAAAAACCACGAGAGTTTTCTGGCAGCTGAACACAAGGGATTATAAAATGGACCATAAAACAAATTGCATGGATATGGTACTTAATGTCACTGGCTTACGTGTTCTCATAAGAAGTAGCATATCTCTGAAATTATTACACACTGAGAAACTGAGAAACATATCCCTTCGCCTGAGAAACATATCCACATGTGTTTTTCTGAGAGCTGTTTTGGTTGTGCCCACTTGGTGGCCACGCCCACTTGGTGGCTACACCCACTTGGTGGCCACACCCCTGGGGGTCACCACAACATGGGCAACTGTATTATGGGGTCACGGCATTAGAAAGGTTGAGAACCACTGGTTTAGGATACCAGACCCAAACATAAGTCCACCAGAGGTCATCTACAAATACCCAAGTGCTATAAATTACATCTTGGTGCTACAGCACAAATAGACTGGAAAGGTTCAAAGATCATTTGTTTCCTCCAAGGTGTTAGGACTGCAAACTGCTGCCTTCTCTACAACTTCCCTAAGAATGGAAAGAAAATAATGATTATAATTTACGACATTTACACTCTCAGCGACTCTGGGAAGTTGGACAGCATATGAGATAGAAGACTGAACAAAAATTGTTTAATCCCATTGCATCCAATAATGGCGTCTTGAATCACCATAGCACCTTCCTTGTCAATAAAAAGGAATTCACTATCTTGTATTCCTTCAAATTCTGCTATTATGTTACATTCTGGATACAACAGCAATATTTTGGTTTTTAAAATAACTATCCAAAATTGATAAAATATAATCAGTATTCAGAATTTAGAGAAATAAAAAATAATGCACTGAGATTTACATAAAGGTCACTCATACTAAATAGCTTCATTCATCAAACGAAACCATCGTTTGTTGAAGAGGCCCCAGTGGCTGGGTTTACCCATCAGGTAAGAGCATTAACTATGATTTTAAAACCTTGGCAGAGAGACGAAAGCAAAAGGAAACAAATTACATTACTATTTAGTGCTAGAGGTGAGCTTAATACCAGGTTCAAACTAATTGGAACAACATCTAGGTCAGAGGTGTCAAACTCAATTTCATTGAGGGCCGCATCAGCATTGCGATTGCCATTGGGGGGCTGGGTGGGTGTGGACAGGGTGGGTGTGGCCTACTGGGTGGGCGTGGATGGAGTGGGTCTGACCTACTGGGCGGGCATGGCCAGCTCTACATCGTTCGCGTCAAGGGTACCTGTGGAGGCCTGGGCAGGAGTGGGGCAGATCTGAGTGGCAGAAGGGGGTGGGACCAAGGCAAGTGCCAAGGCATGGTCCACTGGAGGAGTCTCACTGTTCCTCTCAAGCTCGTCAGCTTTGCACCTTGCTGCCTGCTGAAACTGGGCAGACTAGGGGCTAGATAGCATTGCACTTCTCATCAGATTTGCGCCACCCGGCTCAGCTCATGGCGCTATGAGGAGAGAGCCCCATTGCCTGCCGAAATCAGGCAGGCTGGTGGCTGGGTAGCATCGCTCTTCTTTTTGGATTCATACCACCC